ATATATATAGATAACAACAACACATTAACACCATCTAATCTCTTCACATGATGGTGATGTTGCCTCGTTTCTCACAGGTCCTTTTGATTAGGTAAAAACAGTGGTTCCTCTAATTTTAACCTTTGGACCCACAAAAACTAAAAAAAAGTTAGCTATTGCTAAAGTTTGAAAACATTGGTGGCCATTTAACACAGGCCCTCATCAACCCTGTCTTAATATCATGTAATATATAACTTATTGAACATTCAATTTTTAAATGATGTGTAAAAAAAGGGTAGAAATTTTTTAATTAAAAATATTTATTGTCAAAAATGGCAGCACAGCACATTTAACATTCAAAATCCAAAATGTTTAAATTATCCCAAGATTCACAAAAAAATGTTTTCATACTGTCAAACACAAGATTTTTAATCTAAAAATGCCATGTACAAAAATGGTCTGAAATGGAATTATTAAAACAGCCATGGTGCTTACTGTCTGTGAAACGGATCAAAAAAGAACATGTTTTTTATAATCTAATAATGATGAAACTGCACAAAGCTGTTGCTTCAGTTCAGCCCTTTAGACAAAATTATTCAACATTAATGTAAAAATATGTACCTGAAAATTAAAAACATTACTAAAATAATACAACATGTCACAACAAATCAAGTTGATATTCCTACCTGAAGTTTTTTTTTTTTCCGACAAACTTAAAGGATGGCACCAAAATGATGAGAGATATCGATGCAAACACATCAAGTCACTTCAGCATGAGTCAATCCTGTGTTCTTCAAGAAAGGTTTTGATGTTTTTGAAAGATTGTAGGAATACACCACAAACATCAGCCTGTGTGAGTGGTTCATGAGTTTTTGTTGTAGGAAGAATCTGAATGATGTCAATAAAAAAGCGTACGTTTTTAAAGTGGTGGTTTAAAACAGTTAATACAGTCTTTGGTCCAATTAGTCATAATGAAAACAAAGGAATGTCACTTTTTGTGACTAATATGTTGTAGCCACTCCTTCAACATCTGGAAGCTCGGTCGAGCGGCAGGATCCAGGTTCCAGCACTGTTTCATGATGTTATACACGACTTCAGGGCAGCCGTCCGGACAGTCCATTTTGTACCCCTTCTCCACACGCGGCACTACATCTTTCAATGGCTACAAAAAGAAAAACACTAATATTAGACTGGAAATTACTACATTAAACTATTTTTGTCTCAGTTTTCATGAAGTATGTATTGCACTCAAGGACAGCTACAGCGCATTCATGACATCTACCTATATGTCCCAACAAGATGTTCATACTTACAATTCTTGGATAAGGGACTCGACCAAAAGAGTATATCTCCCAAAGTAAAATACCGTAGCTCCATACATCCGATTTGGTGGAAAACTTCTATTAATTTAAAGTAAAAACACAAGTTTTGTTTTTATTGTGTGTGTTGTGACATCATATTACCCACAATGGTTGTACAACAGTGTACCTTTTCTCTGAGAGCCTCTGGTGCAGTCCACTTCACAGGCAGTTTCGCTGTGTCCTGAGTGGAAGACGCTTCTTTGGTCAAACCAAAGTCACTGACTTTAGCAATGTTGTCATCAGACACGAGAACGTTCCTGGCTGCTAAATCTCGGTGCACAAAGTTGTTCTCCTCCAGGTACGCCATGGCTTCACAGACATCTCTGCAAATTGAGGCAATGATTCAAACATGACTTATTTATGTGACAAAAAGATAATATGATATATTTTTAACTCTTCTCCTTTTATACAATGTGAGATGTTTTAGTAAATTTTAATAGATTGTTGTTTTATTAGTTTTTTTTTGGTAAGGCTGTTTTTAGTTTTATTTTAGTCTTGTTTTATCTGTTATGTTTTTATTTTTATTTGTTCAGCACAGAACTTTGTTCCTGTGGATGTCTAAAGTGTTTTATAAAAAAAAGCTGATTTGGTTTGTTATGGTTCTCTCTATTGTATTGTCTGCTTTTATCGATCAACTGTGCAATTTCCTCTAATTTTGTGCCTGTTATTGTTTTTCTGTCCGTTAGCAAATATCTTGTGACAGATTTTAATGAAACTCTCGGAAAGTAATTAGTGGATGTGCCTTTACAGCTGATTAACTTTTGGAATCAACCCAATTCAAGACAGTCACCAAAGCTCACTGACCTTAAACATAAAAATAGCTAATACTCAGTCATTTTGTCACAGATATTAAGCTACAGCTTGGTTGGAGAGTAGCTGAGAGTCATTCCTAACACATAAAACAGAGCTATTAAATTGCATGACACCTTTGTATAAAATGTTGACATTATTTGTTGGAGTCAACCCTGTGTATCTGTTAGCAAAATTTCTCATGAACCAGTAGAAAATTTTGAAATAAACCTTCATTGTAATCATTGGATGTACATCTTAGGGTTGGGCATAATCGTATCGTGTGTGATTAATCGTCAGAAAAACATTAATCGATTAATTTTTGGCACTTGGCAATTAATACGATTAATGCCAACAGGTAGAATCCGCTCACTGCTCCTCTCTGCTTCAAATATGATGAACATTAAAAAAAGTTCTGTAACTTATTTATCTATCAACACAATTTAAAATTTGTTGTATGGCCTGAAGTCTGTAATTTTGACACAATTTGGAACAGATTTTTATTAAGAGCAAATCTTTCCCACTAAATTGGTCATGTTACTAGGACATAAGGGTGTCCAGGGACTCCAGGGGATTAATCGTCAAATTAATCGTTATCGGCTAAATACCACAATTAATCGTGATTTATTTTTTTGCCAATATTGCCCAACCCTAGTACATCTACAACAAGCCTTTAAATACTTGTGCAACGATGAAATCTGATGCTGCACAAATGACCACCAATGTAAAAAAACAATTCACTATTAAACTCTATCTGGCTTAGGAGCCAAACTTCGTCCAGTGAGTTGTGAATTCGTAAAATAAAACTTTTAAAAACAGCTGTAACTGTCACTCCATGAAACACAATATTCTAAAAACATTAAATATAAAAACTACACATATTAGGGAAAACTTCAGAAATACTTACAAAGCAAAATTAAGGAGTGCTTCTCCACCAAGTACCGTACGTCCTCTGGAGCGCAAGTAATCAACTAAACAGCCCTAAAACAACACAAAAACAAACATCTTACACGTCTATAGCAGTTTTCATGATAATATCTTTTACAGAGTTTTCTAAATGTCTACAAACAGTGAGTCGCCTACCTTTGCCATATATTCAGTAACTATAAAAAGACTTCCATTCTCCTCCACAATCACTCCAAGCAGCTGGACCAGGTTATTGTGCCGTAGTTGCCTAACAAAAGAACATCCGCAATTACTATTTGTTTTGTTTCTGTAGAAAAATGATAACACAACATATAAAAGGTCTTACGTCATGACAGAGGCTTCTGCAATAAAAGCCTGTGCTGTAGCATCATGTTTAATGCACTTCACTGCTACTTTCTTCCCTCTGTAGTCTCCCACCATGACATCTGGAATCATCGTCACACACTTGCATTAAACATGAGTGAACCAGCGTTCTTGTGTTGAGTAAAATGCAACAGAAAAACATGCGATACAACACTAGATCATATTACTTGCCTCCAAATTCTCCTTTTCCAATAACCTGGTGCAGCTTCAGCTCCTTCCTGTTCATCGACCAACCACCTGTTGGTCAATAAAAAAGGCAAAAACGTGCAGTTGAGACACGATGAACACACACGTGCACAGAAAAACTAAAAGTTTATGTTGTTATAGCTGAAAAACTGAGACTTACTCCTGGAAAACTCATCCTGAGCAGCCACAGTCCCCTCCTCCAGCTTTGGTTTGATAAGTTTGGTGCACAGACCATCGGCGTCTTTGGTGTAGTGCTGGATACGGTGAAAAACACAAGATGTGTGAAAATGCACACAGTCAAAACATACAGATTTAAACAACACATGTAAAAGGAGAAGAAATAAACAATAGAATAAAAGCTAAAAATCAGAGATAAAGCATTTCTCATATTTTAAATAACATGTAAATATCTTCCAGTAAGATGAAAGCTCTGATCACACACTTTGTCTTTCAGTGAGGTTGAGTTAGTTTTAAATGAACCATTAGTTTAAAACTGACTGTTCAAAGGCAGATTTCCTCATTAATATTATATACCTCCAACACATGCAGCTGAAAAGTCAAAAACAGCAACGAGGGAGAAGTAAAATCTTTAGATCAACAGACTGTGATCTGGCTACCTGTTAAACTCATGACCAGCTGGGGATAATCCACTCGTTTTTTTATATTTTGGTGATTTAATGCTCTTTAAATGTAACACTAAATTAAATGCTTGAAAGATATTCAAAGTTTGACCCTGCAGTCAGCATTTCTCCCCAACAAACTGCAAAAGTATAAGGTTTTGACCACTTGGTAAAGATAATGACATAATCTTAGTGAAGATTATTTATTACATTTGTCAAAAATAATTGATTCAAATATATTAGTTGAACATAATCTGTTTCATAATTTATATTAGGGCCATATTTAGTAGCAAATAGATTTAACATCAACAGATGGTAGAGATTAAGGTTTATGGTTTCTACTGGCCAAAGAGGTGAAGTGGATGATGAACCCTCCAATAACGGCTGCATGGTGCCCAGGTTATGTTACTGCAGAACAAGCCTAGATCATCACTTCTTCAAACACAGTTGTTAATGGCCTGAACCTATATAGCATCTTATCATGTCCCTATAGATTCCAAAGCCCTTTACACTTACACCCATTTCACCCATTCATACACACATTCACTCACTGATGGTGGTAAGCTACACTGTAGCCACAGCTGTCCTGGGGCACACTGACAGAGGCGGGTGGTGGGTTTTAACCCAACATGGTACTGTGCATTATTTCTCAGTCCAAACAACTTTGTTCCAGAAGGGTTTTGATTTGTTCAAATGCAACTTTGCAAACCGAAGTTGAGCTGTTCCAATCTGTTTTAGAAAAAATAACTCTACAAAATAAACTTGACTTGTTGAGACGCCCTCTTATTGGACTGTCAGAAACGTCAGAACACTTTAGAATCAAACAGGTCTTTCAATAAAGTTCTCTGAATATTTAACTGTCTGATTGGTGAACCTGATGAGAAGATTTGCACAGTCTTGACTGGTTTTCTACATGATCAACCCTCTGTCTGTAGAATGGTGGACTCTAAATGACCTTACATTCTTGTCCAGGTTAATGAATTGTAAAGTTTTCTTCTGTAAAATCCTTACTTGTGTTTTTTTTTTTGTTGTTGTTGTTTTGCATTTCTTTTAGAGAACAAACTGAAAAGTCCAAAGCAGAACATTTTCAAAGTTGGAGTTTTTATTAAAGTTGTCACACTGCTGATAATCAGTTAATGTATTTGGTTAGAAGCAATTAGCTATAACAATCTATCTTGTTCATCAAAGCTTCATTTACCAGATTTTAGTACCTCGGTATAAACAAGACGGCCGTTCTAATGTCCTGACTTGCCTGACATGTCTCAGATGAACATTATTTTAATCTCTTTGCAAAAACAAACTTACTAAACATTACTTTTATGAATATCTTTTATAGAAGTGAAATGAAGACTCTAGCTGACAGAGCTTTGGCTTTCTTTCCTTTTTCCTTTTGGTATTATAAACATTTTTTCTGTGTAATAAACTCAACCAGCAATTGATAAAATGCACAACTTTATTAACTATGAAAACATCATCAAATCTGTAGTAAAAGTAAGTATTAGAAAATCTAACACTACATTTTATAAGCCATATAATGTCATAAAATAGTGCATCACAGCAGCCAACAGATGGAGGTCTGATCAAATGAACTAAACAAATACTGACTAAAACAAAGTATTCAGTCATGCAGACATTATTTTTGCACAGACCAGCATGTGCAGAAATAATAAATAGCAACAGTTCTTGGTACGCTGTTCACACAGGAAAAGCAACCAGCTTGACAGTAAGGAGCCTCTTTGCCTATTTGAAGCTAAAACTCTGAACCTCAGCTTACTGTTCGCTTCCTCTTAGACACTTCCTGTTCAGCAAATGTTCCAGGAACTACAATTGTTTCTGAAGCGGTACAGTTACGCTGTCACTCTAAACCCAACCTGCAGCGGATCAATGCTCAATATAATACCAGAACCGTACAGTGACCAAATAACACCTTGCCTCACCTCCACCAGCTGCATGAGATTCTCAAAAAAGACCTCCTCGTCGATGGTGAGCTTGCCGTCGTGGTAGATGATGCGGTAGTGCTCCACCTTTCCGTCGCAGCTCACACACAGAGTGTAGTCGCCGGGGAAGTTGGTGCTCTCTCGCACCAAGAACAGGCCCGTCTCAGGGGGATTCAGCAGCTGCTCGGCCTGGTCTCGAGTTATTTTCCCATGGAACCATCTGGAGGCAGAAGAGCCAATAAACATGGAGTACATCCATAAAACTAAATAAACTAAACTTTTCATTGTAAATCATTTGCATAAACATATAGGAAATATGAATGAGTCTCATGTTTAGTGAAACTCTAAATCTACTATTTCCAAATTCTTCTGCCTTATTTTTAGTCTTTTTTTAAAAAGAAATTTTAGAATTGAAACTTGTAGAAGTAATGAATGCTTTGGGAGTTTTTATTATAATGCCCAGTTTGAAACTTGATTTTGATGAGAATTTCCTTAATCTATAAATTCAATCCTCAACTACATTTCTATAGGGCAGCAGGTTTATTTGATTGACATTGTACCATAGTATCACCACTACAGTTTTCTTTTTAAAAAAAACAGCTGTGTTGTGTTATACACAGAATTAACAGAATTACAGTGGTTCCATTTGTGTGTGTGTCAGATATCATTACATAATGTCTACACATTTGGTAAACATTTAAACAGAGAATAAATTTAGATTTCAAGCAGAATCTTTTATTTTTAATGTATGCCTTGTTTTTGCTGTATGTCATCTCAAAACAAATTATTTTGCACAAACGTTAACATTGAGTACTTGAATAGAGTTATTTTGCAAGTGAAATTCACCAACACTTGTCATGGGCATGAATGAATGAAAGAATTTAGGGTTTTAATGATTAATTTCAGTCACTCTCTTTACAGGGTGAAATGACTGCACAACAGATAACTTTAACACTTTGTAAAAACAAGAAGGGAGTGTCATGATTCTGGGTTTTCTTGTATTTGTTTTAAAGCTTGAATTTATTTGTGTTTATGGTTATTTAGTTGTGATTTTTTTTGTTTTGTAGATCTTTCCTTGTGTTCTTGTGTCTCTTAGTCTCCTTTCTGTGTAATTGGCCATTGTTGTTTCCCTTCAGTCATCCTTACCTTCAGTTCATCAATCACACCTGCTCTGATCTACTCACTTGTTCCCACTTCATAATTGCTCCTCCCCACACATACATTCCCAGCTGACTTTAAGTCTTTGTCAGATCCTACTGTTGGTTCTATTTGTGTTTTATGTTGATGCAGCTTCCTGTGAACTCCCACTTTCATTTGTAATGTGTTTGTTTGCCCCTTTTGGTTCTTTACACACCACAATGACATTGGGTGCACACATAAGTATTTGTTGTGGATTTTCTCTAATCAACACAGGGTTAAATATATTTAAATATTAACCTGAATTTTTGGTGCTGAAGGTCCTAAAATGCATTGTGCCTTGACAAGCCCAAGACTTGTCACCTTCTTTACAGTGACCATAAGTGACCGGATTTGTTGGACAGCACTTTAATGGCCTGATCGAAACTCAGACCAACGAGAAAGACCAAAGAAATTACAGCGGGTAAAATAAGTATTGAAGACGTCACCATTTTTCTCAGTAAATATATTACTAGAGGTGCTAATGACATGAAATTTTCACCAGAT